ATCTGAGGATCCAACCAATACCATCACTTTGCCATACAGAGCAGGGGTTACCAAAAATATTTCCAAAATATTAAACAAACACAAGATCCAGGTTCGTTTCAACACAGTACACAAAATACATGATTTAATCCCATCTGTAAAGGATGTGATTCCTGACATGCAATACCCCGGTGTCTACAAACTGAGTTGTGGTTGTGGCAGTACTTACATTGGGGAAACGAAATGACATGTCTCGGACCGCGTTCGCGAACACAAGGCAGATCTGAAACACGGTGGGACCAATACCTCTGCCGTTGCTGATCATTGTTTTAATGCAGTGGGCTCACACGAAATTGACTTTTCCAAGACGAAGGTACTCTGCACATCCACCGGCTATTATCAGAGATTTGTTCATGAAGCCATCCAGATGTATAAACACAGACACAACTTCAACCGAGAAGATGGGTACAAACTGAGCAATCATTGGAAGGATGTTATTAACCAGGTAAAGTCTTAACTGACTGTGATGTTTCCATCCTACCTGCCTATGTCAGCTGTTATTTCCGACTCTCTGTGTCTTTCTCTCTCTCTGTGCATCTCTCTCCGATCTCTACTCCAGTGACCCGGGTGCTGCCTCAGGGTCCACTTCCTGCCCCGCCTCCTCTCCCACCCCTTCTCTCTCCCCCACTACTGCCGAGGCCTACTATATAACCTCGTGCCACGGCAGAATTCTCGCCTATTTCAGCAGTTTTTTCTTGCCGTGGTTTTCCCACCTGATGACGATTGCTTGTGTTGCGATCGAAACGTCGTGATCTATTATTTTTCTACCTGTGTGCCTTTACGGAAAGAACCAAAGAATATGGATTCTTGCAGTCACGAAAGCTTTAAGTCATATATTTGTATGCTTGAATAATACTTATATGGGATCCGGTCGTGGTGTTATGGTTACCACGCTCGACTTAACAATCGAGAGGTTGCCTGTTCGCTTCCATCTCTTGGTCCAGCAGTTGAAACAATGGGAAAGTTATTATAATTCCCCCCACCTCTGTTTACCCAACAGCATAAATGGGTGCACCATTGTTCTCTAATCGGCAGGTAACGTGTGGTGCGGTAAGGTGTGGGTATCCCTACCTCTTGCAATACGTCTCGTCAACGTGGAAGAGTAGGCCAACTACCATCTAGAGTTTTCTTGCGTGGAGGTCCTTCAACCAGCAGTGAGCAAGAAATTGCGGGGTTGCACCTTTATAATACTTATTTATATTTTTTTCCTCTTTTGCGAATGGAGTCTTGGCAATTTCATTTTTCAAGGACAATTATCGACCCGAGATTAAACAAATGTAATTCTCATTTTAATATTTATCTCATGAGAATATTTTTGTCAGCTTATTTACCAATCATGAGACACCATTTATAGATCTAAAAAGAAAGGACACCAAAATTCCACTTGTTAACAACTTCATTTCCCGCACGGTACGGTGGTTACAGCACTTTTATTTTTCCCATTGGCTGATTTTCACATCGACACTAATTTTAGGTGTTATTCCTTCTGCCAACTGCGTGATAACCCATTGTAATTGTTTATCTTCAAGAGGAGAAACATGGGTCACTACAGTTACGTGGGGGCATTATGTTACGTACATAAATCATTTCAGAGACGATTCATTTTTAGTTTGGCTCTGGCACAAAAACTGATCAAAATTTGTACGCAATGTTACCTTCATGAAGCCCCATTGCGTAAAGTGTTGTCTCGAACCCTTATCTGATTAGCACGGTTGGCTGCGTATGATGTGAAAGAAGTTCAACATACATACACACGTTATCCTCTTTCTCTTGACCTCTCTATTTATTTTCTTTTCAAAAGGGCCATTGCCCGAAATGTTACCTATTATATGCTTTTTCCTTTTAAAGTTTTATGTTGAGTGTTTTTTGACGCTTGTGCAGCGCTGCCAGCGCAGCGGTGTCACTAAATATTGACGCCACAGGATCCTTAACATCCACAGTAGTGCAATAGGTGGGGTGCTTTTGTAATTTTCCCATAGAAATTATAGGAAATTGCTGGAAATCGAACCACAGATTGGCTCATTGGACACTTAGAAACTCGACAGCTTGAAAACAATGTGAATTGACCAATTTGATGTATGACATTGATCACCTTGAATGCAAAGATATCGTGAAGTAGATAGGGATCTATCCCTGTTTTAGCAAAAAAAAGTGTAAATGTATAAAGTGGTGTCTATTCAACCTCGGGGAGAAAAAAAATAAACTCTAAAGGAGCTCATTAATTTTCACAGTAAGCATACGCCGCCGCTAATTGATGCAATGCTTCCAGAATTTACTGCCGCGCACTCGCACTGTGCTTTACAACACCAAGGTAACATCAAATGCGGACTTAATTGAATGTAGAACTAATCATTTATGCCTGTCGCATTATACATTACTTTAGCACGTGAAAATCTGTTTCGGCTTTGAGTATGTAAATTGTGGTGCGAACGAGAAAAGGCATGAATGTCTAACTGCAATGTAAAACAAAAATGATTGGTTGGATTGCTATTGGGTAATTATCTTGCACTTGTATTTTTGTACATGTTACTCACTATTTATTATATATTTTGGGGGCTAATTGCGAAGTATGTACGTCCTTTTTAAACTGCAGCATTAGCAAACGTGCAATTAATGGCAACATTATAATTTGGATGTAAAATACGTGTGCTATTGTTTTGTAACCAATTGTTTTCTCATTTAATATGTCCTCTGTCATTATCTGAATTTTGTCAGAGCTAACGTCATTGTAAGATGTGTCATATTGTGTGAACACAATGTACCCTCAGTACTTGCTTTCCTTGTGTTATGGCTCGAGCTGTCTGTCGTGCAGGCCCTTCCATCAACAGTGGCATGAGCAAGCAACTTCAGGGCTGCGACTTTCACCGTTCTGCCTTCCTTCACCTATCCCTATGCACGCCACCAACGCCATAGACTGTGCAGTCGCACTGCGTGCTCGGAATAGGAATTTCTAGCAGTTTAATTTGCGTGTAATACTCGCAGTGGCCAAATGGCCAAAGCTGATAAATGACCTGCAAATTGCTCAATTGAGATTACACAGATCAGCAATATTGCCGCCGACTGCGAAAACTTGGTAGGACCCTCCTGAAAAAGAATACTGGGACTCATTGAGGCTTTCCTGGATAAACAAACAAAGAAATAGTATCGTCAATTATAATGTATGGGTTAATATAACTTCGTTGTTGATTTAATTGACCTGCCATTTATGGAACCCCCTGCTATTTGTCGATGTTAAAGGTCATTGTTTTCTGTGGGGTCAGGTAGACAGGCAAGACTAATCTATTTCTAAAAACCTCAACACATTTGTCAATAACACTTCCTTCAAGTAAAACAATATACGTCTAAATATTCGGCAACCTTTCAGGCAATGGCATTACTTTCATACGCTATGAAAAAGGCCCATTGCCCGAACGTTGCCTTATACAGTATATATTTTTCATTTCATTTTTTGGCAGTGTTATTGATGAATGAGTGTCGTTTTTTCTTTCTTCTTAATTGTGCGAGCACACCACAGCTGACGCAGCAGCATCACCAAATAATGTGTTTAATACATTACCATTGATTTTTTTGGGCCTCTTTGCAAACAGGAGGGCAGTGGTACCCAACCATTCAGGACCATTGGATCACTGAACCTTCAACATTTTCTCACCGACCGCCACGCACAAACAACATATTTAAGAAAACGTAAGCTTCACTCAATCGCAGAATCTGTAACAGTTCCACAGAACCTTGGGAGCCACTGAAGGAGTCACAGGACCCTGTTCGTAAATAGTTGGAGGTTTGCTGTGTATGCTTGGAAACACAATTGGTTTAGCACCGACGCGAGCAAGCGTCCAAGAGTGTGGCAAGAGGAGAGAATGGACCGCTCCTCCAGCCGCTATGGGGGCAGTAATTCCACACAACGCTCCAATGTCCAGCTCGTCTGTCCCCTATGGGCAGAAATTCCACACAACTCCCCCTCTGCCCCCCCTCTCTCTCTCTTTTTAAGGCCTCGACACAGAGACGTTGTCTTTCTGTATGCCTATGTGTGTCTCTCTCTCTGTTTGTCTCTGTGTGAGTCTCTCTCTGCTTGTGTGTCTATCTGTGTGTCTCCGTGTCTGTGTTTTGTCTCTCTCTCAAATTTAGCAATCTTTGGAAGGACGGAATCAACCAGGTGGGGTGTTGACTGTTTTGTTGGCCGATTATCTGTGTTGTATTGCATTATATTTCCAAGTTTACTATGTTTATTTACTCATTCATTTGTACCTGATGATGGTTGCTTGTGTTGCAATCGAAACGTCGTGTTCTATTATTATTTAATTTCTTTCTACGTGACTTTACCGAAAGAACCAAAGAGTAATTCCTGCAGTCACGAAAGCTTCGAATCTAGTTTGATATCAGGCTTGCCTGTGTATATTGCTCCATGGTAAGTTAATTATTTAAAATCCAGTCAAACCAAGTAAGAATTCCATTTCTTTGTTGTGGAACTCTCAGTATCTGGACCGGGGACAATATTAGTGATTTCACGTGGAAATCAATTTTACCGCAGAGCATAATCCAGGGGTTGAGATTACTATATAATAACTGTATCTCAGTCATGGTGGTTGAGTGTCATGAAATGGCAACTCAGTAGGCATGTTACGGTGCATCGGTTCATCGATTAACACCCATTCTTATGTTCATGAATGTATAATTTAGAATTCAAGGAAATTGTACGTAAAATGTTCTGATCGGGTTATGTTGCTGCTGATAGAACAAAACTGTAAACGTGCACTCACAATTTAGACGCAATACAGTGCAATCAAATAATTTGACATGAGAAGATAATAAGCAACGCTTGATTCAAATCACGACCTCAAACCATGACAGTTGAATGCATGACTTTGGTGGTCGGATTGAATTGTTGAATGCCAAGAATCTAGGCAACTAAGTTATACGGCTGCCTTAAACGTCTCTTAAAGAGCTGATGTTCCTGCACTTACCGCGCCAGAGGCATCCACAGTGTGCGCCTTGGGTCTTCTACAACAGGGTAACCCATCTCGGGCTGCAGCGAAGAAGAGATTCTCTATAGTCTGGAGAAAATCAGCACCTACATTCACAGTCAAAGAGCGCAGAGTGTACTCGGCAATAAACATTTATTTAAACAACTCGCAGATATTATCTTTTTTTATGCCCCCCCTCCCTCCCTACCTGTGCTCATCTGATTCACAGTTCTCAGGATTGCTTAGTGCTCCATCCTGCTCGTAATCAGACGTATGATTCATCTGGGAGGTGACACGTGACCCAGGTACATTATTCAAAAGTACCCGGTACATGTGTCCTGCAATGACAGAAGCAATTTTGTGCCGCGGTATTAACAAGTGCGAGCGCATCTGGTAAGTGGAAAGCTCTAAGCTAGTCGAGGGTTGGCAGGGATTTTTTTTTTGCTTTCTTTCTCGTTACGTCTTGCCAGCGTTGCCTTCTTCAGTACATTATCCATCAATGTCTGGCCCATAATAGCAGTTTGTTTTATCCCTGAGAAATGGTGGGACCTGAGCAAATTTTTTTGCTTGACATACATTTAATATAAAAGACTGCATGGGATTGTTATGTGAGTGAACAGAAGAAAACTACGTGGGTTTGTTATACACTGGACTGGAGTATCGTCAAGCACCATGAAACCATAATGTAATTTGCAATTTAATATGTGTAATGCTCCATACCTGCGATGTGTATATTTACCAAGAAAATAACATTTCTTATTACAGCCACTGACATTTCTAAAGTTATATATCTCTATAAAAACACATTTACACTCAACTATGAATGACTTTTAAACACAATGTTATGGTTTTGAAAAGGAGGAAAATCGGCACAGATAAATTAGGTAGGAGTAACCAATTCCAGAATCTCAAACAATTTGCACTTCAATAGCAAATGTGCATTAATATAACTTTGACCCGCAGAGCTCTCCAACATTCTTCACGAGTATAGCATTATTCATGAATACATTACAATCTTGCAATGCTATTGATGTGAAGTTGTTTTCATAATAGCACGATATGTACGTACTGCATAAATAATGACCGTGTTTTTTTTTTGTTTGCTTGGTAATAAAAAGAAGATTACATTCCAGGTGCATAGCTTTGGTTTTATTATTCATCTGGTTTCCATATCTTGACATTTTGTGTTTGCCTCATTTTTGCATTCGAATTTCATATATGTATGATCCTTTGTATCAAATGTAATACTTTGCATGGGGGGGGGGGGGAGTCAAATCCACTAGGCATTTTAAATATACCTTCGTGAAATCTCATGCATATGTAAAGATGCTACGTATTCCAGAGAAATGTGTTGAAAAATTTAATCATGGTTTATATATTTTTGTTGTTGATTTACATGTTATTTTCCACATAGGGCATCAGAGAGCTCGTTATTTGTTTTTCAAAATGATGTTTACTGTCACATCATTGACTTTGCATTGAATCGCTAGGCTATGGGCACTATTTCAGAATGGTATTGTTGTTTAAAGTACTAGATCCAGTTTTATTTATGGTGCAAAAAACAGATTGTGTATATAAAATGTCAAATTGAAATGGCGTGCATCACACTGTGCCATTAAACGTTAAACGCTCCCTTTCCCTTCAGAACACTGTTGATGGTTACACAATGTGACATTTTTGTGCTAAGTGTCGGAATACGTATTTTTTGGCAAGCATTTAAAAATCCAAAAGTGGTTCTATTCAGTTGTCATAATTTGAACTTAGAGCAGTAACCATGTTTCCTAAGTGTAGTGCTTCCAAATCACTTCTTAGCAGAATAAAATGTTCGTGTTATAGGGTCACAGGCGCTTACGACAACCAGTGATTAGAACCGAAATGGCTAATGCCATCACTTTTAAGCACGCCTATTAACAAATTCAGTGATTTGTGGGTTGTGTTGGTGGAAAACACAGGGATCATTGTCAACGTCATGGATTATTTACACCGCGCGTCTAATGCAGTAGTGCATCTTAAGGAGGGGCAGCCACCTGCAGTAAGTCTCAGAGCGTGGCAGCAGAGCAAGTAGGCTGCTGATTGACAAATTCCGTTGATGTGGCCGCGAAATACAGGAGGTTAATATAATTTTATCACGGGAAAATCTCATGCAAAAAAACAGTCCCACAACCGGAGACTTCGCTGCTTGTAATCTCCGTGCGATGCCTCGTGAGGATAATGTGAGATCTTATCGGCTCCTTTATCACAAAACAGGTGAACAACTTCCAATAAGGTAACACCAGATGCAATGTATTCATATCTCTACGACCAGCCTTCTCTTTCCAGGAGAAAAATGTTACTGAGCAAAATGTTACATCTATTCCTGAATGTTGGAGCATTGCTGTGCTGTACTGGCTACTGTGAGAATTACCAAGGTACTGTCTGTGCCTGAATTAATGAATATTTAAAAACTACATGCCCAGCCCAGGCTATTGTGGCCAACACTTGACAGATTAAGAAAAAAAAACATGAGAAAGGAGCAATGGCGTTTAGAGACAAATGCCGTGTCCTGGAAGGTTCTTCCCTTCGATCAGGAATGCTTGAAGTGTGCTGGTTAAATACAATAACAAAATAATAAATGACGTGTTTAGTATTCAGCGGACTAAAGGTTGGGACAGAAGAGGCAGCTAATGGGTACATTTATGCCACTGAGGCAAGCCAACAGGCTGCATCTTGTAAGAAATGTAAAATTGAGAAGTATTCCCCTTCTGACAATGGTACGTGAAATAAAAGATGCTAAAACTAGAATTAAAATAAGATATTTTAAGTGATCAAAAACTAAACTTGGGTCGATATTGTAATGAGCCTTTGTAACATTTAAATTGCCAGCCGCTGATGCCACCACAACCTTGCCGCCACGTTCCACCTTCCGCCAGCCCCCGCAGATGTTACACAATCAACACGTGACCTCAAAGATGTGCCCTGACAGTAACCCACCATCTGCTCTCAGGTCTTGCCCTTGGTCGCCAGACTCATGGAGACCACTCCAAAGCTTGTCTTGGCAAGCAGACATCCTCCCCCCCCCCCTTCACACGTGTCTGATCCAGAACATCTTATTAACACGATAAGCTATATGTATATCGGGAATAGTGGACAGCTTTGCAGTTTCACTCTCTGCAATTCATCAAGGGTCCCATCTGTCGTGACACCTCATCCAAGTGAACGTCAATCTGCAAGGCAGACTGGACCAACGTTGGCTAGTTCTGGGTTGGTGCCGGGTGGTACAGCTGCATTGGGGCAACAATGATTTGCCTTCATGTAGGAATCTGACCAATCACGCACAACAAATGCATATCGTGTTTGCTATATGGTCTGATGTTAACATTTTTGTAAAATGTAATTTGTCACGGATTATTGAAGGAACTGTTCCCGTATTTATCCATAGCTCTGCTGGTGTGTGCTTAATTTCCGACTCACTCGTCATCCACACCCGACCTCTGAACGTGATCAACGTTGGCTGAAGTAAAAGCAGCGTCTGGAATACCACTTCTGTCAATATCACAAATACAAATATGCACACACAAACATCCTTATTGCAGCTACTTCATCAAATTGTAAACTTTGCCACTATTCATAACATATGAGCTCAATATATTCGTCAATAATAGTGTGGCCTAGAAAAATATACACAGTATACTTCGGGCTATGGAAATTCTTCATAGTACATCACGATTCATACACTCATCACCATATGCCTGCTTAATTGTTTGCTGAATTACACGTGTCACAACCCTAGAGGACAATATAGAACAACAGATCGCTAGTCTTCTAATGTGCAGTTATGCAAGGGCACCACCATTTATAATTATTTATATCAATATGTATATATTTGTTTGAAATCATATCGTGAAACATGAAGAAAAAACATATTCACGTGAGTCACAGTCATGCTCCATTCACTATGAAATGTTTTTTTGTTTAATAAAATTTGCAGAATTATTATTAAAAGTAACCTTATTGAAACAACCCCCGTGTTATGCATATGCATGCCCTCGGGTACACGATCATACACTCAATCTTGATTTGAAGCTTTCGTTACTGCAGGAATCCATACTCTTTGGTTCTTTCGGTAAAGTCACGTAGGTGCAAAATAAAATCAATCACGACGTTTCGGGCCCAACACAAGCGTCCGTCATCAGGTGGGAAAGCGATGGTCTGCTGCTGAGAGGCAGACTGTTTTTAAAAGGTTTGAAATGGGTGTAGCCCAAGGGTCATAAAGAAGTGGGCGGGGCGAGTTATGTTAATGTGATAAATTAGTATGTACATGTAGAATGGAGAGCGGCCTCCTCGACGAGGGCACGGAAGTGGCTATGTTAATGTGAGAGATTAGCATGTTGTTAATGTGAGAGATTAGCATGTTCATGTAAGAACGAAGAGCGGTGCAATCCAAAGGCATGAGAGTGCAATCCAAAGGACATGTGAGCATGAGAGTACACTCATTATGAGAGCATGTGGGCAGAGATACTGATCATGGTCATCATCATAATCATTCAAATGAGTGCAGGGTTGGCTGTGCACCTTCTAACGAGGTGGTGATGTGGTTACAACTGTCAACTGCTTTGTTATTGGTGTATGTAAGAGGGGAGCGGTAGTGTAGCGGTTAGCGCTACGCTGCGCTATGAACCCTGCCACCTGAGTTCGATTCCCACTCACAACAGTGATGATTATCTGAACCGGTTATGGGCCTCCCCTAGGTTGACTCAGCCTCAAATTAGTACCTGGTGCGATGCGTAAATATCGCCACTGGGGAGACAAAGGGGGCCGAGTGTGATGTTGGCCACCCAGCCCCTCGTGTGCCGTGCCAGCCTTCATAGGTGCTACTCGCTAACAGCAATTTTCCATCAACGGTTTGTTAATTTAACACGTAGGCTCTCGCGACCAATATTATTCATAATAAAGATTTTTGGGTTAGATCGCGTTATTTATAAATGTGTCGTAACCCTCCACAACCCGACACGGCCAATCAGCAAAAAAAAGTGTCACGTTGACAAAAGACAAATAGTTCACTACTTTAGCCCACCGGTGTGTTGAAGAGTGAATCTACAACATTTACAGTTTGAGTGGATTCACTCTTCAACACACCGGTGAGCTAAAGTAGTGAACTATTTGTCTTTTGTCAACGTGACATTTTTTTGCTGATTGGCCGTGTCGAGTGGTGGAGGGTTACGACACATTTATAAATAACGCGATCTAACCCAAAAACCTTTATTATGAATAACAGTTGCTTAAGGCTACATGGGGGATCTTTGTCTTTGGTGAATGTAGAGAATGACTCCTGTCATAGGAATGTGGAATTTACATCCACCGTCTTTCAATGTGGATGAGCGCCAGGGGGTGACTCTTTCCCCCTTTAGCGGATGGTTCTGATCTTTGCTGTCGCGCAGTGAGTTGACGCGCACGTGTTGCTTGCGTGTTGCTTGCGTGCGAGTCGGACAAGATCTGAATGTGATACGTCCGCTCTGCCTTGCGTGCGGGGAAGGTGCCATGACATCGCCCAGTCCCACATTGGACTTGCGCTCCTCCCGCTCCTCGATGCGGAATGATAAGCAAGCGTTAACTTTCAGTGGCAGCTGATCAAATATTTACCACGACGTGTGAAGGTTTGTCACCGGTGGTGGAACTTTCTGCCACGTCAAAATAAAACCGAATACGTGGAGCGTGCCTCTGCTTTCACTAACTGCAGATGTTGTGAATGAAACAACTGTAGTCCGTAACACGTTTCGTGTTTCTCATTTTGCAGTTCTTCATTGTGTTGTACCCCTTCCAATATCTCTGTGTGGAGCGTGTTTGAATCCGGAGGCACGCGTCGGGCATATATTTTGCCGTGCAATTCTCACTGTGCGGCAGCGTTTAATGGAGAGATTTTTAAAGATACATTAAAATAAAACAATATCTAAAATATTTTTTCTCATCAAAATGAAAACTGAGTTGAAACTGATGCTGT